ATTTTTATTTTTTATTTACTTGATTAAGCGACACTGATTTAGTTTTGTTACATTTCATTGCTGCTATTTTGGAAGGCCTAGGTTTTCAATTTTGACAGGAAAAGGATGTTTTGTCTTTTGTATTAGCAGGAAAGTTCATTACAATGGTAAAATTTTCAATAAGTTATTTATCTTTATTGTCTTCATTATTAGTCTGCAAATGCATAAAACAGCCTCAAGCTAAATTAAAAGCTGAGAGCTACATAAGAGCTATTTGGTAATTGGGCGATTTATAATCCAAATGATCGATTATTCGTTTCAATAATCGATAGATTATTCGACTCGCCGTATGTTGCAGCCCTACTGTTGAAAGAGAAAAGACATTTAAAATAAAACATAAATAAATACATTCATACATTATAGTTTAATCCAGACACTTTCCAGACAAAGACTAAAGTTAAAAAGAAATTACACCGACTTTTCAAAATTTCTATATAATTCAGTCACTGAGATGTAAATAAAGTCAGAGTAGTTTGATGTGAAATGATTCAGTTGCAGAAATACCAGCCAATTTTTTCCCCCTAGCGGTGGTGATAGCAACCAGGGTCACCATGTACACAAGGCAAAAACTGCTAATTTAGTATCCATTACCAACATGTCTTTTCTGATATTTTTATGTTATTGACCATGGAAACAGTACATGGAAAATTATGTTGTCCTTGGTGACTATTCTGCCTCACAACACCCTGCATGCACCCCAAACCCCATTCCTCCCCCCACTTTAATGGCTCTTAAAAATATATCACTGCTGTCTGAAGAAAACCTCGTATCTCCATTTATGACGTTTTTCAGTTTTTGACATAATTTGAAAATGCCTGTTAGCCTTTACATTGTTTGTAAATTTCATGATGAATGGACTAAGAGAAACAGCTCGAAATGACTTGGAAAAACGTCTGGTTCCATTGACTTACATTAAAAGTAAACTAGGTTTTTTCCTTCTCCTGTAAAATGACCATTTTGGAGTTTTCTTCCAACAACACCGATATGTTTACAGCCAAATCCTTACTGCAAATCCTTTCTAAAACCAGTGTCTCAGACATCAGGCGGCATCTTCATAACCATTTAACATAATAATTTTATGTGAGGGAGCTGTTGGAGGTGGACGTCTGGTTCCTATCACCACCACTGTGAACAATTCTTGGCCTGTAAGTTTCTCTTGAACGGAGCGTTTCACACCAAACCACTCTGAACGACTCTGTTTAGATGTAAGCCGTTTAATTATGCAGAGATGTTGGAAAATCGGTGGGGTTTCCCTTTAAGCTTAATAATGTAGTGGAAGTGCTGTAGATCGGAACCGAAAGTGAGACGAACCGTCACCTGATTTGCGTTTTCTAACTCTCTCTGCTCTGCTGTGATGAGCAGAAAGACCGTGAACAGTGACCAGTGACCAGAGACCCGCAGAAAGGCCGGGACACTACCGGACAGAAGGACACACAACAAAAGCAGTGAACCTCCACAGACGCCGGCTTAAAGAGGCTTTACTGGCGTTTTACTGAGAGACCGGGTAGCGCACACAGGCTGGAGATGGAGATATTAGCTAGGAGGCTAAAGTTCGCGTCCTATTCGCCAGCTGTTTGTTGGAATTTTCCCGTTCCACCTTAAATGGGGCAGCAGGTACATTCAGGCGCTCGAGGCAGAGACGCCAGAATGTACCTGCTGCACCATTTAAGGTGGAACGGGAAAATTCCAACAAACAGCTGGCGAACAAGCTGGCTTTGTCGAGATAAACTAACTGGACGTAAGCTAATGTAAACACAGGATTTCTTCGTTTGTTTCCCACATAAGTTCAGCTGAAGGTCAAGCCTGTCCAACAGGAGAAGAGCTGCCCGATTCCTACCGGACAGTCTTCACACACAGTTCAGTTCACGGCCTTTGAGAAATCCTGCTGACAAATTCCGCTCATAACTTCACTGAATGTCAAGGACAACAGACATTATTTTATGTGTTACTAAGGAATATACAAGCTAACACGACAAACAGGCGTCTTGGACAGCTAATAAATACCAAAACACCAAACGGTCCGCTTTACTCCGCGCTATGCAGGTTAAAAGCGAGAACTGACTGGTGACAACACAGTGACAGGACTAACGACAGCGATGTTCTAGCTGGCGTTTCCTGGAAAATGAAACCGGTTCTAAGCCATTTAGACACTTAAGCTGATATGTCAGTCACACAGCACAGTCAACTCACCTCAGATAAGAAACCAGGGTCCCCTCAGAAGCTCGGTTCACCTCAAATCCCGCCGCAAGCTTCAATTTCACCGCTTTGCACTTATTGGCTAGTGTCGTCCTGCTGTGTACGCGAGAATTGGCGGACGTCTTGTGAGTACGACCGGCTGACCAATCCTCACGAAGGAGGGCGGGATTTGTCGTAATAAGGGTAGAAAAAGAAATGCACGCTCTGGGGTGCGGCGTGATTTATGCAGTAGCCTATTGGACTTTATAATTACAATTTATGAGACCTCTTGTGGAAAAACAAATTATAATGCAAAAAGCTTTACTTGGAGCAACAGGCTTAAGTTTTTTTTATTTTAAAATGTAAAACAATAAGCTGGGGGAGTGAAATTGTTACACAGTAATGCCAAAAAAAAAAATCATTTTCATGCAATAACTGTTATGTTCAACCATTAAGGAGGCTTGAGAACTTCACTGTGTTTGTTTTATAAAACTTATAGCTCTAACGTTCATGTGGGTCATACAAAATGCATAGAAAAGAGCCTCATGCTGTCCCTGCAGTACACTAAAGAGTTCATAGGATGGCCAACTGAACTGTCCTTGTTTATTTGAAACAGAATTTGATATAGTATATAAAAGTGTTAAAGATTCAAAATCTTTACTCCCATGTCTGTGCACTCCATGTATGTGAATTATGCTACAAAACAAGCCCTTTTAAATTCAGTGTCTTTGTGATGTCATGAAACCCAACATATTTACATTTATCTTATATAAGTAAAAACAGAGCTTGCCTTGGAGCTGCAGGACAGCACATGTTTTTGCAGCAGGTTGAATTATAGCCAAGATCACTACAGAGGCAAGACTGAGGCAAGACCGAGACCTGGACACAGCGAGTCTGAGTCAAGACTGAGACCTGGATACATCAAGTCTGAGTCAAAAACAAGACTTCGTAATAGCTGAGTCTGAGTCAAGACCAAGACCAGATTAAGTTTTTTTTTTTCCAAAATAAAAATTTAAAAAGGGAAAAAACTAAAATTCATTTGGAGTTCACTGTACATTTATTATCTACATATATAATATAAACAATATATTATTATTACAGGTATAAATGAACATTTTTAAATCTTTAAAATCTGTTTTGAAAAAAATCTAACTAATTATTTTATAGTCTCACTCCAACTTTGCATTGTAACTTTTGAAAGCAGATGATGGTGAGGTTCTTCTTCTATCTCTTCTTTAACTTATTCAGTTCAGAATCACCCCCTAAAGCTACCTGGACGTAAAAATAAAACACATATGTCACACATATGCTGCTTAAAAATTCAGCACCCCCAACCTCAACACCTTCCCACGTCCCTGGAGGGTTCAGCGAAACAACACACTTTAAAAAATTCTACTTAAACTTTTAAGTCAACCTCCTGCATAGCTTTCTTCATTTTCTCAACTTAGTTCAAATGTACAACTAAATTACAATTTTAGCAATGAACATAAGTCAACAAAATACAGTTTAGGTTGAACTTCTCTGAAAGTGGTTTTATCTTTATATGCTGAAATTGTAGTTCCTCCCCCAATTTAGTCACTGTCAGCTCCACCTGTAGACTAAGAGCCCTCTTACCACACAGTGTTCCTAGCTGGGGCACAGGGACACTGTGTGATAGTGGGAGTCATGGCCTGTGGGCGGGAACTGGCAACGATAACGTGTATCATTTTTGAAGTAAGCTCAACTTAAACTGTTTTGTTGATGTAACTGGGATGCAGAACTAAAAACGCAAGCTTTTATTTGTTGGCCTGACTGATTTTTTACAGGGTTGTTAACAAAGGTTTTTAAAACAACAGTTTTCATAATTCTGCCACACAGATTTCAGTTGTCAATTTATTTCCAAGCAAAAAATACTTGCGGCAATTATCATCAGAATAGTCCTTTATTGAAAACAACACAGTGTGATATTGTCTACTTTCATGTCAATGTCCAACTTAAATGTCACTAAACAGCACATAAAATTAGTCATTCGTGTTTACACTTTCCATGTAAATGAAGTAATCCACATTAAACCCCACCAAGAAGTTCATATTTAAAAACAGACAACACTCAAAACCAATTCTTTCCTTCTTCACATGGTCAGATTTGTCAAGCTATCAGCCAAACAATCATTGGACTTTTTAAAGAACTTCTTTAATAACTCACTATTTGCTCCAGCATATCTGCACTGTATGACATTGCTGAAACATGAATGTGATTCCTTTATGCAAATGAGCAAAGAAGAAACAGTCCAGAAAAGGTCCAAAGACATATTTTAACTCATGCCTTGTGAAAGGAAGTTCATTTACTACTTAGCTAATTGAACCTTATACACGTGTCTGGAATTACACTAAAGGTCTAGAATGTCTCTGAACTGAGTCCTATTTGGAAGTTGATGGAGGTATTCCATCGATACCTGTACCTAGACTGAATCCTAATCTTCAGAAGCCTCAACAACAACAAATATTTTCAGTATTTAAATGTATCCACCCTTTTAACTTTATTACAGCTTCCATTCTTTTCAGGAGACTTGCTTTCAGCTTTTCCAAAGGAATCTGCAGAGATATATTCCACATCTAATAGTAATTTTTAGAGCTCTGGTTTTGGACACTCCTGTTTTTTCCTGTGACTTTTCGACTTTACTCTTTCTTATGCAAGAGGATTATTTAGCATCTTTTTTCTTCACAAATATTTCCTGTAAAATGAATAACATGTACTTCTTAGTCATTTTGACTAGGAATTAATCAAATGAAGGATACTCTCTGACTTCTGCGCAGTACTGTACATTTACAGCTCATATCTTATGTTGTAAGCCACAGGTCCTTTGATGTTGAAGCCAAGATAGAAAGAGACCACTCCTTGGCGACGGACGCTGGCTGGATGTTGGGGAGAAACCTCAATCCCCTTTAATCCTTTAACAAAAAATACTTTGTAATTTTGCACCCATCCATGCACACGTTGAAGACCTGGGATTTCGGTGCTTTCATCTCCTTTGTGAATACGATCAATGCAGGTTTTGTCTATTCGTGATGTATGGACAAGTTTCTGGAGGCCTCGCCCTCCTCTGAGGAAAAAGAGCGGCACCAGAAAGCGGGAGCGCAGGTAATTTTGGTACGTCCTCTCAAATGATACAAGCATATACTTCACACATTCGGCTATGTCTGGGGAGTTCTCTTTGACCTGCTCCTCATCAGGCCAAAACAGCAAAAGGACCAAGAGGTAGAACTCTGGGCTTCTTTTGTCTTTCTGTTCTTCCCAGAATCCCTTTAGAATGGACTGAAGTTCTCCCAGTGGCCTGAGCACCGGAGATGTGGCATTTCTTTGACTCAAGATGATGTTCGCAAGAATGTACTTTTGGACAACATCAGCATCAGTCGGTGAATACAAATGTAATTCTCTCAACTGTTTTGTGATCAGTTCTAGGTCTGGATCTGGAGCGTGCAGCAGTCCTGCAAATGTGCTGACCTTTCTTTCTTTCAGGATCTGCAGCGGTGTTTTTTCCGGCCCACTTTCGGTTACATATTTGTTGTAGCATTTCTCAACATTTGGCCGAAAGTAACTTGGCTCATCCTTGTCAATGCTTGGCTTTGAGTAAGTAAGATACTGTTCAAAAAACTCAAACTTCTTCTCAACTTCATCTCTGAGACTAGTAAGTAGAGCAGTATACTTTTCACATTTTTCAGCTGGACAAGACTTAAAGAACGTCTGAGGGGTTATTTCTTGCGCAAGAACCTTGGACCATTCCATGTTCTGTTTTGTAAGATGGTAGAAAATGATGTCTGCAGCCTCCAGGAAGCCGTACAAGCCCCTGTTGTTAAAGGAGTTAGATATATTTGTCATACCATGATCTTTCATCTCTGGTGCTTGCTCTTTCACAGCAGCTTCAGCCTCATCTTCAAAAGACTCAGTCGCTTTCTTTCCAGTCGTCAAGATTTGTCTTGGTGAGCATTCTGTATTCATGACAAGGTTCTTGAGGTGGTTTTTATGCACTTGTCCAAGCGTGTCTCTAATGAAAGAGTTCTTTTCATCCCTCTCAATTGCAGTTTTAGCCCAATTTTCACCTCTTTTATAATCTTTCTCCTCAATGTAATAGAATCGGGCTAGAGCTTGTGGAAGAAATGGATCTTTATCAAGTTTCATTGAGGCACTTTTCAGGACTAACACACACATATGTGTGCTTTCTTTTGCTTTAATGTCTTGGATCAATCTAGAAAATTTAGCCTGTTTTCCAGACTCACGTTTGATTGTCTCCTTGTCTTCTCTTTCAGATTCATCTTTGTCCTGTATTGTTTCCCGCTTTGTGAGTATTTTTTTGATGGTTTTTACCAAATACAATGGCACTGGGTTTTCACAGAGGTCTGTCAGGAGATTCCTTGTGATGATACTTCTCGTTACACCAGCTGAAGTCAGTAATTGTAAACATTCCTCAGCAATCATGGGGTGTGCCATGCGTACGTGATCCTCACCCCTGTTCTCTTTCTCCTGGGTAGAGAATATGACCAGAATGTCTGTGAAGGGTTGCATTTGATGCTCCAAGGAGAAGCTGCCAAGACCAAGACTTTTCTTATCAAGAAACCGTTGACATATATCAGGGGAGAGAGAAGAACCAGGGGCATATGAATTAATCAGTGCTAAATATGCTAAAAGTTGCGCTTTACGAGACCTCTTTCTCTTCTTAATAGGATGGAGAATTGTACAGATCTCTGTAACAACAGATGGATTGTAATTGCCCAGCATAATGTTAAAAGCGTGGAACTTAGTATGTCTGTCTCCATGTCTTTGAATGATTTCAGCTTGTTTTTCCTTCAGTTTGTTTTTCTCCTCTTCTGAAAGACTTGTGCACAGTGTTGTGCTCCTTGTTGTTGTGAGCTGACGGACACAGTTTAAAATGATGACCACAGGGACAGTGGTAGTGACATTTCTTGCCTTTATCTCATCAATGAGATTGTCTTCAAGGTTTTTTTCAAATGAAGGCTCATCACTTATATTGTCTAGAAGAAGCAGAACAGTGTTCTGGTTTTCAGGACCACCTGCACTGAATAACTGCACCACTTGACATGCAACAGCCTTCGTGTCTGTTGTAGAAGCGACCACTTTGGCACACCTGAGCTTTTTTCTCAGGTCCCATAGTATCTGCATGGCCAGAGTGGACCCTCCACTTCCGGGTCGGTGGAATAAGTTGACATGAGTGATGCTTCTGCTCGTCTGTTTGTTTATGTCAATCTTCTTCCGTATTACTTCATACATATCACGTTTAACAAAGGGGGACCCCTCCTTTTCAGCCCAATAGAAGTTCAGCCACTGTGGTGGTGAACCTCTGTAAAATTCTGATTCTTTCTCTTTGGCATTTTCTGGACTGATGTTTTCACCCTCAAACTTATTAGCCCACACAACGTCAAGGGTTGACAGACGATCTCTAACAACGGTCTTTAATGGCATTTGTTTGCCATGTTGTGAAGGGACAGTGTAATATTCCATCAGGTCTGAGTTCTGAGGTAAACCCCTGACTGGTTTTAATTTATGTAGACCAAAACTGTGATTTTCCAAATTCCTTAAAGGGAGAAAAATATGAAGAAATATCATTAGTTGAAAATGTGAAATCAACGTTTATTTATTTCAACATCCTCAACATGGTTTAACATGTCAGATAACTACCTCTCTTTGCATGTACTATAATGTATGTTATTGATTTCAAATAAAGAAAAAATAAGTTTAAATCTTTCCAACAAATCACACCATTCAGTGTTGATGGTTTTTCCTCATGGCAATCTTTGAGACAACATTGCACTGAAAATGTGTACATTGCAGTGTAAACTACTCATAGGTTTTTTGCACAGTTAAGTTTTAGTCAGTGTGAAATGACTCCTACTAGATTCTGATTAGACACTTGAAAAAACTTATACATGACAATGATTCAAAAATGCTCATATTGTCATGTGATTATTTGTAACTGTGTGATTCATAAGCACCCACACTGTCTGTTGCACAGAGATTTATACTGCTCACCCATATGCCCAACTTAAAATTTGGTCTGGCTCCAAATTAGTGCTTCAACTGATTGTTTGGAAACATTACAGGTATGGAACCTATGCACCATATTTTTGGTGTACATGCCTTATTACTGGGTGCTATAACATGCAAAACACTTTTTACTAGCTACTAAATCTGAAATTAAATTAAATTAATTAAAACAGCATAATTGAGTTTTTTCAATCTCACCTGGCTAAAACTCATTGATACATTGGGTGTGTCTCAAAACCTTGTGAGCTCTCTACATATACAGCATTTTACATCACAATATGCGCACTCCAAACAAGAAATCTGTCCCAATTCTTAGATATCTCAAATATGCTGCGTACTAAGGACTCTCATTTAGGCCGAATAATGAGAGAACATTGGATGTTTCCTCAGCTGCTGAGGCAATACCGTAACGCAACGCGACACTTTTGTTTGAAGATGGCGGGCAGAAGCGCTTTGCCAAGCAGCGAAGTCATCTTCAAATGTAAGTTATTCTGATTTTCTGTGTTTAGGCTTGTTTTGAATAGCCAGTTGGCTAACAAACTTGCTGGCTAATGACCAAGTAGCTTAACTAGGGATAGGTTTTGTCAAACTTTAATTAATGACGAGGTAGCGTGATCTAATCATTGATCTGGTTGTTTGTGTCTTGAATGATTTGGCAGAATAATAAGGGTTAAATGGTGCTTTTCTGTAAATTGCTAACGGTTAGATGGCTAGCTATTTAGTTGTCCATGGTCGCGTACACAAGTTGTTTCCCCTTTTTCAGGGACCAGATCAGCGCTCTAAGCCTTCATAAAGGCTCGTATAGAGAGCGAAGCTGTGTATCGGGGAGAAAACCTCTGGTTTGTCAGCTAGGAAGTAAGAAAATTAGGGTGTTGGTTGAACAGTTAGATCAGGGGTTTTCAAATCTTATTCACAAAGGCTGTAGCTGCAGGTTTTCACTGGAAACAAGCAGGAGCTCCCCTGATTCCTCTTAATCAGGAAAACAATTAATCATGAAAACATGCAGCCACACTCTTCGGATACGGCTAGACACCAATGAGTTAGACATGCTTTCTCAGTTACAGTATAAGATGTAACATTGGTATAGGATATGTAGTATAAGATGTAACAGCAATTTGCTTGTGTGGTTGAGCACTTCCCTAATCTGGTTAGAATTTTAATTGAATAATATTGGATCTTTTAATCTCTTTACCTATTCTCTAAAAAAAGGAAAAACCCCCTGATTTCATTTTGTTTGTTAATAGGACTATCCTTTGGAATTGGGACTACAGGGAAAGGTGGCATGACCTAAAAGAAATACAAGGTAAGTTTCAAGACAGAGGTGAAGATTAATAGTAGATTAGTACTGTAATTAAAAAAAATCAAGAATTTATCTCTTTTAAACATAAAAAGTGCATTTTAAACATAGTTTAAATATTTTAAAATGCTTGAGTATAATTCAGCTAGGCAAAAGAAAGCAAACTGAGGTTAGATTACAGGTTTGCATTTATTTTAAGTCTCCACTATCCAGGAGTGGGACTGACAACAATCACCAAGGATCATACCCAAATTACACCTGCTCTGTGGTGGTCCTGTGGGGATCCTGACCACTGAAGAACAGGGTAACAAAGTATGTAGAGAAACAGACAGACTACAGTCTGTAACAGTAGAACTACAAAGTGAAATTATATGGTCAGTGGAGCTGATTAAATGGACAAAGAATGAAGATACAGAGAAGTGGACTTGATGAAGTGGCTGGTCCATGTGTATGTATATGAATATTTATGTAATTTCATTGTAAAATAATTACTTAAATAATTACTGTACTATTGTATATAGCTGGTTTAAATAGTTTGATTGCTAGTGAATGACTAACTGTATATTTATTTATTAAATTGTGTAGTTGTGTATATCATTGTTCTGTTTGGTTAATGCAAGTTATCTGCAGTTGTGTGTAGTTTGTGTAGATTTTAATTTGATGTATGTATTAATGTGAATGTCTTATTAAAATATTCAAAACAAATAAAAGTGTATCTGTTCTTAAAAATGATTTTCTCAAACTCGCAGCTAGGAGATTAATGAGCCTTGTATGATATAGAGAAAGGGTTTACAGTTGATCGCCCCCCCACTTAGAGGAAAGTTTACATTTGTAAATTTTAACTGTTTAAGAGCAGCAAGTATCGCTCATATTCTTTAATCTCAGCATTTATTGTCTATTTTGCTGTTTCATTCAGAGCAAATACCATTAAAATCGCTATATAAACTGCCAGAGCAGATCCATGTTGGCTAAATGTGCTTTTGACAGCTGAGGTAAGTAAATGCCGGTCTCGTGCAGTGGGCGGGAACAAGCAGTGACATCACTGCTGTCTAACTAGAGTGTCTCATTTATCTGTCTTATCAGGATAGATGATGGCTGGAATGCTGCCTATGTAGACAGTGGCTACTTGGAGAGCTCACTAGGTTTTGGGACACACCCATTGTTTCATTGTGACCAGACTTGAAACATAAATAGATTCCTTTCTTAGGGGGCAGAGGCATGCAAATTCATAGATGCATACCAATCTTTAATTATATGTAAGCCATGTAATTTGTGTATGTATGTCACAATATCTCTTGTTCTGTTTGAAACAGAGGAAATATTTCAAATCACAGAACTCCAGAGGAGTTTCAAATGACAGAACTCCTTTTTCTGAACAACTCTGCCAGAATGTGCATGTGATAAGTTGCACAAGCTACTGTATATTTCGATTTACAGCTATTTTCACTTCAGCTGTAAACCAAAGGGACTACTTTGTCCTTTGTCCTATAAATACTGATTTCTTGTATAACTATGTTTTATCACCTGTCTGTACAGCACTTTGAGCTGCCATCGGCATGAAAAGTGCTATATAAATAAAAATGATGATTATTATTATTTTTATTATTATTTATGATTATTATCATTGTAAAGTATGTTTTTGCCATGCATTATGTTGAGAGAGCCTGCAAAGACTGTTTTACATAAAAATAAGGCTTTACAACATAATTGCAAAACAATGCTTGGACCCCATGGATTGCCACTCTTTGCTATATTGAGTTTATTTATTTTCTGGCCTGTTCAAGAGGTGAATGAAAATAAAAAAAAAAAGTGTTGTCATTTGAAATATTCTGTTGTAAACAGAGCAAGATTGTTTTATACAGTAAATAACTAGCTTGCATATAATTAAAGATTGTTACACCCCTAAGCAGCCTAAATTTTGCATGCCCCTGAACATTGCTCCTGTATTTTGCATTGAAATAATTGCATCTTTTGTGTTACGTCCTCCTATACTAGGTAAGTCTAATGGGATGAATCATCTTAAAGTATATTTAGATAATCTACAAAGTACAGTGTGTCTCAAAAGTAAGGACACACCCATAGAAAATGAAAACTGTTGGTACACGATGGTCCAATTTTAGATTTCTGGGGAAAGCGGGACCTGTTAGCCCATATCACAATTCCTGATTTTTAAAATTGGATCACTGTCTGCCAATCAACTTTCATTTTATGTGTTTTCTTACTTTTAAGACACCCTGTATATCAAGCAGAAAATAATATTGTACATACTATGTTTATTCAACATCGACACATACAAAAACTGAAAAAAACTGACTGCTAGAAACATTTAATGTAAGATCTAAAAAGAAAATGAATGTGCAGTAACTGAGCGCAAGACACTATACCTTGTGAACCTTTTCTAATCACTTTGAAGTCAATCTGTTCTACATCTCATCTATAAATGATGGGCTAAACACAGTGTCAATTTTATAAACTCATTAAACAGTAATTCTGTGTCTGTAGTAGTATTACAAACTGTATTACCGTGTAGTACCTTGGAGCCCAGCCTGTTATATCTGCTTAGAAGAAGAGAAACTGGAATGCCAGTAATTTCCTAGGAAACAAAAATGATGAAAATGAAAAATCTTACAGTATATAATCTCAGCATTGTACTGATTGATTCTCATCGACTCACCTGTCTGTTGAGAGGTAGAGTTCCTTCTGAGTGTGATCGGAATGTGGCTTTTATGACAGGGAAGTCTATTGTCTCTAGTTTGATCAGATGAAACATGATCTTGCTCCACCCACTTACAGATGCTATGCTTTCATCTTCAGTGAAGTGAAAGTGAAGACTACCTTTAATGAGCTTGTGAAGAAGTGTACTGCCTAGATACGAATACACACCATTCACTCTGAACCTTATTAAACCAACTAGACCAGACCACTGCCTCATTTTTCTCCAAAATAATTCCATAGTTGTCTACTAACCAGACCTAAGGGCAACCTTATTAATCTACAAGATAACCTCATAGTCCTGTTTCAACTAGACCTGAACACACCCTCATTAATCTCCATAATAATCCCATAGGTCTATAGCAACCAGACCACATCAAACAAAGATTATACAATGATTTTGGTAACTTTTTAATGGGAAAATACTTACATTTGTGGGTTTCTTTGGTCTATCTCAACCAAAATTGGGACACCCTACCCCTAGACGTGAACGCGCAAAACAAAGTCCTAAGGGCTAAGTGGTAGGGGCAAGGGGTGAAATGGGATTGTGCCAAAGTGTTACCTTCTTTTATTACATATCTGTAACTTTTATTTGTTCGGCTTGTATTATTCTTCACTTTGTACGTGCTACCACCTGTTATAGTTGATGCACTGATAGATGAACTGAAGCTGAAACTTCGTCTGCGTTTCATTTTCCTGTAAAATGATTTCCCTTTCCCTGCAGAGATACCTGAAGTAAACAGAAACATAATGAGGTCATTCTTCGCTTAGGTGTGGTAGGTTAAAAGTATTTTGAAACTGGTTACATCAGACATGGAAAAGATTCCAGCAGAGAATTTGAACGTTTGCTTATTACCATACTTCCAGTGTGTGCAGAGGGCAGGGGATGAGGTGTTTTAAAAAAAGGATTTTGTGGGGGCACTTCTGGAAGAGTCCTAATAAGAATTTTACAGTATTTGAAGTTTTGGTAATATTGTGGTATTCTTTATGCAGATCTGATTTTAATCACACAAACGTGATGTATATTAAAGTCCATTTTTCTAGTCGCAAGAACCAAAACAGACCCAATCCTAGTAAAACCCTATTCAATAAACACAGTCACAATGTAATGTTCAAACACTTTTTCAACCAATGATTATATCTTCATCCTTACAAAAATAGTATTATTGTTATTATTATCCAAAAACCTTCATCTTTTCAGGCAACTCGACGGTAAATATCAAACTATCCCAATAATCCTACAGAAATGTGATTTGATCATTAACCAAAGTTAGATTGAGCCAAATGCTATAAAAACCCCAATCAAGACTGTATGTTTCAAACCATGGTGATCGTAACCATGGCAACTTTGATATGATGTAAAATAGGATTACAGAAAGAATTTGTTGATCAAGGAATGACTACGGTCACCACGTCAAAGGTTAAGCTTCTTCTCCAGCACCTTCTTATTCTAACTTTCGGCACCATCTTAAATTGTGCAGCAGGTAGCAGACACCTGCACAGGCGCCAGAATGTAACTGCCACACCATTTGAGGTAGGACGAAAAATTCGTATGAGAAACTGCGACAAGGAAGTCAACATCAGCCTCGTGTAGCCACGGCTGTAAGAATGTTTACAATCAATAAAAAAAGGAATTCAGGTAGGTTAGCCAGGAAAGTGCAGGTCAAGCCAAGGGTGGATTTAGTTATTCTGGAAATATGAATTTGAAACAGGTCCCAGTATTTCGTGATGTAACAACAGTCACTGATCAGCTAATATGGATATCTTTGGAGATTATTGCAAGAAAATACTCCTAATACTAGTAATAAATCTAAATGTAAAATGTAATACACCGATCAGGCATAACATTATGACTATGTTGTGCTGGTACGAGTGGATCAGACACAGCAGTGCTGCTGGAGTTTTTAAACACCTCAGTGTCACTGCTGGACTGAGAATAGTTCACCAACCAAAAATATCCAGCCAACAGCGTCCTGTGGGCAGCGTCCTGGGACCGCTGATGAAGGACTAGAGGATGACCAACACAAACTGTGCAGCAGCAGATGAGCTATCGTCTCTGACTTTACATCTACAAGGTGGACTGACAACGTAGGAGTGTCTAATAGAGTGGACAGTGAGTGGACACAGTGTTTAAAAACTCCAGCAGCACTGCTGTGTCTGATCCACTCATACCAGCACAACACACAGTAACACACCACCACCACGTCAGTGTTACTGCAGTGCTGAGAATGATCCACCACCCAAATAGTACTCTGTGAGGGTCCATGGGGGTCCTGACCACTGAAGAACAGGGTAAAACGGGGCTAACAAAGTATACAGAGAAACAGATGGACCACAGTCTGTAACTGTAGAACTACAAAGTGCACCTATACAGTAAGTGGAGCTGATAAAATGGACAATGAGCGTAGAAACAAGGAGGTGGTCATGATGTTATGCCTGATCAGTGTGTATATATCAATATATAAATTGTTATACTACTGTTCTCATATACATATACACTAATAAATTCCCCAATTGTACCCCAATTGTTTTTTTTTTTTATATTTTTATGTCTCATCTCGATGTAGTATTTAACCAATATACTCATGTAATCAATATTATGTGGCTCATGAAACCTGTACAAATATCTGAAAAAAAAAATCAATGTAAAGTTATGTGTATTACAGTAAAACAGCTGCCATTGTATTTGCCTAAATTTCCCGTGTTGTAACTATTTATGATAATAAAGAATTTTGATATTTATAACTGAATTTTGAACAGTGTGGTGAAGTTTTCATTCCAATGTCAGTTTATTAGCCGACAGAACCACATCATTCTGAACTTAAAGAGAGCTCTCAGTATTAAAAGGGTCTATCAGAATTTGGTTCACTCCAAAAAAAGACCATTTCCAAACATTCTGCCATTTTAATGTTCATTGGTATCAAATACCTCAAAGATATGGCAAATTTCAAACTGTTCATTTTCCAGAGTCCAAATTTTAGTGCTGATTTTTATTAACACTCTTCTTTTTTTTACTCAGAGTGTTAATAAAACACAGGACCAGAAGTGTAAACATCACTCTTGCAAGCAGGCGATAAACTCTAAGGTGAGGGTTGAAGTGAACTGGTAGGCAGAGCTGAGCTGCACTGCTTGCAGTGTTGTTTATCTACAGTTTATTTCACACAACAATTTTGGTTATAATGTGATTTTTTTTACTAATGATTCCCTTTGTAGCCAAGCTACCCTGCAAACGTCCAGCTGAGCTTGCAGACATGGCTAAAAAATATATTTTGACTGGGTATTCCTCTTTCAGCAGTGATTGACCGTTGCAGACAGAACCTCATAACCTCATAAATATTTCAAGGAGGAACTTTTTTAAAACACAGACTTACAAAAAGCACTGTATGATTAACTCAGTTTTGACAAAAATGCCTGATAGAACCTTATGCCATTAAGGAACTTACACTATAATACAGAGCAAGCTGAATATGGGCCCTTGAAGATAAAACATAAACAATATCTTATACAGCTGTTAAAATGCTGGTGAAACTGCATGTACCAGCACTACTTAGTTACTCGAAAGGCGACTAAGTTATGAAGTTTGCCCTTGTTATGGCTACTAGGGATGTAACAGTACAGTGTGCCCACGGTTCAGTATGTATCATGGTTTTTGGGCTATGGTGACGGTCCGGTTTCGGTATCTTTATATACCAGTAAAAAACAAATGACCCTTTGAATAAACAACTCTTTATTTTGCCTAAAATCAAACAACATTTTCAATTCAGAAAAATGGCAGCATGACTGACAAGGCCTGGTTTCTGTGTCTACTGCATGAAAACAAGAGGAGCTTTGAGAGCTTTTCTCAGCTTTGACAGCCTGCATTGCCTTCTCTATTTTAAATAATAAATGGGAGCTAAACAGGAAGTCGGGGTCGATTCGCTTTCAATTTCTCTCTGTGATGTTTCATAGAGTTCAGGAATTACTTTGCTGCTGAAATGTGTGCGGGAGGGGATACTGAAAGGCCACCGCAAGCCGGAAACACAGCGTCGTGTTAGCAGAGCGTTGATATAAAATGGCTACAATAGAATAGACGTCAGGTTCACGTTCATTTTTACACTCTGCTCATATGATTTGAAAGGAATAAAGCATTCAGCATCACTTATCATGCTTGGCATATGCTGCAAGCTGAAACAAGCTAGTCTAGTAACGTTAGCTGAGATAAAAATTACCATTAGCTGTTTGTCTAAAAGACTGGCTGTCAGAGGTACTTACCTCTATTCAAAACAAAGGTTCTGAATTTGTGGATGCTGCGCGACGGGACGCGTCTGGTGTGCAGTGGCCTTAACTCCTCTGAGGCATAGGGGGCGTACCAAACAGTTCAATAACATACCGCGTCCCTAATGGCTGCTGGCAATTTGTCACTATAATCAATTACCAGAGAACATTTCTGGACAAAAACTGCCTTTGCTATTTAAAGGAAGATAGTAGAAAGACAACGTATCAAATGTTGAAACTGATTGTTGTTTGAAAAATATAGTTCAGGGTCTCCTCTGTCATATTTTTCATTTAATAATGCGCCAAATGTTATCAGTGGATGAGAGGACTTGACTGCAGGCAGGTCAGTTTAGCACCTGGACTCTTCTAATACGGAGCAATGCTGTTGTAATACATGCAGAATGTGGTTTTACATTGTCTTGCTGAAATAAACAAGGCCTTCTCGGAAAAAGACGTCATCTGGATGGTGGCATATGTTGCCAAAACACATACGCATTGTTCAGCATTAATGGTACCTTCACAGATGTTACTGACCTGTTGCCAATCAACCACCAAGTGTTTTTTTTTTAGCATTACACAACTTTACCAGCCTTTTGTTTCCCCGTTCCAACTGTTCTGGAAGGTGCTGTTGGCATCAAATTCAAAAAGGGCATATATTTTTCAAAAAACAATAAAATCTCAGTTTCAACATTTTATGTCATCTTTGTACTATTTTCAATGAAATATGGGGTTTAAATGATTTGCACATCATTGAATTTTGTTTCTTACATTTTGCACCCAACATTTTTTAATATGGGAATAGGGTTGTACTATTTACTCAGCAAATATCAAGAACCTTTTTGGAATTTCAATGTTATTACGTTAAACTGTCATTGAACTTACCATCATGTTTCTCCAAATAATTATCTAGTATCTCACACTTACCTAGTTAATACCTAGATCGTAGGGGACTGTAAAATAAAGTGTTACCTGCATATCTTCATTAGGGGGCTACAATTGGATACTTATTTGTTTGGCTTTGTTTACTCTTTATTTCATACTGTGAATTAAATTAAATTGAAGT